ACCATTCATCTACTAGAATGTCAAAAATATTTTTTTCAAATTTATAAATTCTTATATGTCAAAACATGAATTATTCATTCTTACCTTGGTTCAAGTAAGTGAGTGTTTCATCGTGCAGTTTTACTGCTGGCGATGTTGCAGCACACATCACATACTGAAAAGGAGGGTGTTTACTTTCATCATCCAATGGGAGGTTGGAATCTTCCTGCTTGAAAATGGGTAATGCCAACACATCGCTAAAAAGCAAAAATTATATATCATTGAGAACCGATCCTTAAGGTAGGATGGGCAAGCTACATCTAAGGGCCAAATCCAGCCCAGCCTGTTTCTTGGGTATTTTTCCATTTTCATTATATTGAAAAACACACATCAAAACATCTGCCAATAAGCTTCTTTCTACATTTACAACTCAATGGCACTGATTACATTTTTCTTATTGTTCCACCACTGCTATCTGCATCCAAAACATTCCACCACCATTAACATAAATTCAGTGTGCTATAAACAAAAACTCTCCCTTCCATTGGCCCTTCCATCCCTTGCAACCATTAATAATCTTTGATTTGTATATTCATATAAGTGAAATCATATAGTATTTGTCCTTTTCCAACAGATTTTATTTTGTTCAGTAAGTTTTCAAGGTTTATCCATGTTGTGGCATACATCAGAACTTGCATTTCTCTTGATGGCTGCCTAATATTCCATTATATTTATAACCACATTTTGTTTATCCAGTCATCTGTTGATGAATATTTTGGTTGTTTCCACCATTAGGCTATGTCAGCAATTCTGCAACCAACACTGGTATACACATTTCTGTTTGTGTTCCTGCCTTTACTTCTTCTGGGTATGTACCTAGAATAAAAATAAGGAGCTCTGGTAGTGTAGTGGTTATGAATTGGGCTGCGAGCCGCAAGGTCAGCAGTTCAAAACTACCAGGTGTTCAGCGGGAGAAAGATGAGGCATTCTGCTCCCGTAAAGATTTACAGCCTCGGAAACCCAGTACGGGGTCGCTATGAGTCAGAATCAACTCCATAGCACACAACTACAAAATCATAAAATAATTCTGTATTCAATTTTTTGAAAAACTCACAGTAACAACACAATTGTATACTCCCACCAATGGGAATAAAGTGATATTTCTTTGTGGTTTTAATTTTTATCTCCCTGTAGGATCAGCACTGGACTGCAAAACACAAGGTCAGGAGTTCAAACCGACTAGCTGCTCCTTGGAAACTCTATGCAAAGTCACTATGAGTCAAAATCAACTCGATGGCAATTAACAACTTAATAATAACAATCCTAGAAGTTGGATTATATGAAGAAGAATATGGAGTAACACTCCAAATTAACTAATTATTAATAATCTGCTATATGTAGATGGGGAGTCCTGGTGTGACACTGTGGGTTAATGTGCCAGACTACAAAGCATTTGAACTGCAAGGTCGGTGGTTCAAGCTCACCAGCTGCTCCTTGGAAACCCTATACAGGGTCGCTATGGGTCGGAACCGACTCAATGGTACTTCACAATAACACCACATACAGGTGATGGAGTCTTGGTGTGGCACTGCAGGCTAATGTTCTGGATTGCAAGGAACGTTTTAACTGAAAAGGTTGGTGGTTCAAACTCACCAGCCACTCCTCGGAAACCCTATACAGGGTTGCTATGAGTTGAACTGACTCAACAGCACTTAACAACATACGTAGATGATACAAGTTTGCTTGCTGGAAATGAAGAGGACTTAAAATACAGATGGAGATAGAAAACACTGACATCAAAGACTTCTTTTTTTTTTTTTTTAATGCTTTATTGTGAATTATGTGATAGTTTACATGGGAGAACATTAGCTTCACACTGAGCCCATCCTATATCGTTTCCTTGCCATGGTTACAATCCCCTCCATACATCATGGTTGTCAGCACACAGCCCCTCTCCTTCTCCGGGTCCAAAGTCCCTAGCCGCTCCATCTCTGCATAGCATCATCTCTGCCACCATCTCAGGCATCACTGCTTCTCTGGGTAGGGTTTCGTTCTCCGCTCTTCTCCCTTGATGGTCCCAGTGACCTCCGCTCCTAGACTGCAAAGTCAATCACTTCCCTCCCTGTGCCATAAAACTTCTACCTTTATATTTCCAGCCCTTACAATCAGTCCTGATAACAATTATTCAGTATTGTATCGCAAGAGACCTATCCGAATTTCCTTTCATCAGCCCCACCTAGACAGATTGGATACTACTCAGTGGAGACTCTACCTTGCTCCACGCCCTCTGGATCTAGGTTCCCTCTTGAAAGCTTGTAAGCCAATCACTTCTTGCCTCTGTAACCCCTCCCCCCCATTCTGCATAGCCAATGTCCAAGTTGCTCATCCCTGTCCTCTCCATGTGTGGAAGGGGTGGGAATGATCCTCACTGTAAAGATTAGCGCCCTCTTTTGAGCTATTGCTTCCATAGGTGTAGGTCAAGTTCATCAAATTGTATCAGATTACTCTTTTTCCCCTCTTCTTTCTTCTAGCTGAGCTCTGATCATGCAGTCATTGAAGCCAGGTCAAGTGGGTATTATCTGCAAGTGTGGGTGTTCTTATGCATGTGCCCTCTCTTCTTATCATTTGGATGCTTCTCTCCACTCTAGTCCTCTGTGGCTATGTCACTGACTCTGGGCCCAAGGGTCCCCTGGACTTGCCACACTGCTGGCCAACCAGGTCTCCACCCAGGTTCACAGGAGTCTACTGAGCATTGTAGGGCTTAGCTCGTAGCTTCATTGCTGCTTTTCCCTCATTTCCCCTTATTGGTGACAAACGTGGTCATCAATCAGAGCATGTATTCTCATTGAGTCTTAATCCTAGAAGGGGGTTTGCCCTGAGGGGGACCCGAACTCTTGCCTTGATGTCTCCTGGAAAAGCCTTCATTTTGATTGAATCCACAATCAACACTTATGGAAGCAGCATTCAAGAAATCAAGTACACAAATCTGCTGCACAAGACCTGTTAGTACCTGTTTAAAGTGCTCAAGAACAAAGGTATCAGCTTGAGGACTAAGGTGCATGTGACACAAGCCATTGTGATTTTAAACAGCCTCATAATTACGTGGAATCCTGATGTGGCACCATCGGATAAATACTTGAACTCAAGGTTGGTTTGAAGTGCCAGGCTGTGGATCAAACTCATCAGCCACTCCTTGGAAACTCTATACAGACAGGGTCACTGTGAGTCAGATGGCACTTGACAATAACAACAATGAATAAGGAAGACCGTAGAAGAATTGATATATCTGCGTTATGGCGCTGGAGAAGAATATTAAAAGTACTATGGATAACCAGAAGTACAAGTCTGTCTTGGAAAAAGTGCAACTAGAATGCTCCATGGAGATGATGATAGCTAGATTTCATCTCTCATACTTTAGGCATGCTGTCAGGAGGCATCAGTCCCTGGAGAAGGACATCATGCTTGCTAAAGTGGAAGATCAGTGAAAAAGAGGAAGACCCCCAAGGAGATGGACTGACACACTGACAACAACAATGGGCTCAAGCATAGCAATTGTGAGGATGGCACAGGACCAGGCAGGGTTTTGTTCTGTTGTACACAGGGTTGCTAAGAGTTGCAACCAACTCGATGGCACCTTCCAACAACAGTTAGTGAAGGAGCTCTGGTGGTGCTGTGGGTTAGATGTTAGGCTGCTAACCTAAAGGTGGGCAGTTCTAAGCCACCAGGAGAAAGATGAGGCTGTCTGCTCTTAAAAAAATTTACAGTCTTAGAAACCCTGTACAGGGTCACTATGAGTTGAATCAACTCAATGACAGTAAGTATACAAATTGTTTACTGAAACGATGCATGTAGTGCATATTACTAAAGAGAAGATACCCAAAAACCAGTGACAGTTATAACTTCAAAGTTGGAAACTATCTGTACTTTAAAAGACAGGTTGGCAAACCTTTTCTTTCCATGTGCTTGTTGGACATTAGGATATCCTTTTTGGAAAATTATTCAATTCCTTTGCCCATTTTTTTTTTTTAATTAGGTTGTACATCTTTGTTCTTGTGTTATACAAGCTTTATATACGTTTTGGATATTAGGCTTTTATCTGACATATGATTTCCCAAAATTTTCTCACAATCTATAGGATGTCTTTTCACTTTGTTGATAAAGTTCTTTGATATATGAAAACATTTAATTTTATGAGATCCCATTTACCTATTATTTTCCTGTTGTTACTTAGACTAGCCTGTTTAGATGCTAAGGATGGTTTTTAGATTTTTAAAAGACCATTTTAAGAAAAAGAATATGTAACCCACAAAGCTATACTACTTTTAATTCTCAAGCTCTTTACAGAAAAGGTTTGCCAACCTGTCTTTTAAAGTACAGATAGTTTCCAACTTTGAAGTTATAACTGTCACTGATTTTTGGGTATCTTCTCTTTAGTAATATGCACTACATGCATCGTTTCAGTAAACAATTTGTATACTCCCAGACGTTCAATGGTATCATTTACTGCTTAAAACACTGCTAGGCAGCAGGCTACGACCTGGTCTACAATGACGTCAGAAGTCTAAATGGACAGAATATTGAGCAATGTTCAACTCTAATGACATAGTACAACTGAACTGCATATGAACCTGATAGCAATTAAGACTCTGGCTTCACTGTTACCTTGACATAGTGGTGGTGGTAGTGGTGGTGGTGGTGGTGGTGGTGGTGGTAGTGGTAGTGGTAGTGGTGATGTGCCATGGAGTCGGTTCCGACTCACAGCAACCTTGTAACAAGGTTTCTGACTCTATACATCTTTACGGGAGCAGAAAGCCTCATCTTTCTCCCACAGATCAGCTGGTAGTTTCAAACTGCTGACTGTGCGGTTCACAGCCCAACTCGTAACCACTATGCTACTTTAACATGATCTTATTCAGTGATTCATATCATAAGCCTCAGTAATTAATCTGAAGCGAAGTTGTTCAATCTCTCTAACTATAACACTAAATGTCCAACAATATGTCTAGCAAAAGAAATCATGCCACTGAAAATCCTAAACCAAAAGAGGTGAGAAAGTTCTAGAAACATATAAAAATGAAGATCATAAAGGCCTATGATAATGGACAGTCAGCAAAATATCATGCAAGGAAAGACTGTCTGATTTGACCATTTCAGCAATCATTAAGAATAAGAAGAGGATTTTGAAGGCAGTTAAGGAGTAACTGACATAAAATAGACAATTGTAACAAAGAAGAGACAAGAGTGAAAACCAAGAGAT